CTGCCTCCTTGCCCCCGTGAAGATCGATTGACTAGCCTTTCGAGGACGTTGGTAGTCTCTCTGCGACCGCGCGCCTGATGTGAAGGACAAAGCTTCAGTTCTGGAAGGTTGCGATGACCCCCTTTCTGTTCCGACAGATTGATGCCACCTTTCTGTTCCTACAGATCGGAGCCACCTTTCGGGTCCTACAGATCTGCAGGTTGCGATGATCCGGGAACCGGGCCAGCTTTTGTGCAGGGTTTTGACCCCATTGCATTCCCTCAGATGATCTTCCTTGAGACATCTTACTGAACCGGTTGATGATGATCAACAATTCCTGTTTCTTGCTTTCTGGGTTTTGTGATTGGTTTTGCCTGTTAAACAGATTGATTTTGTTTTTTACTGGAGTTTCTTCTAGTGTACACCGGGGGTTATTATATCAGCAATCACGAGTTGTGAAATTGATCGATGAGAAAACAACCAAAACTACATAATCAGAGAGAACAAGACAAGAAAGAAAGAGTTTTAATAAAGACATCGTAACCAACGCTATTAAGTACAGTTTAGACAAGGGAATAGACAGCAATAAAGGAATGAGTGGAAGGACAAGAATGGTTGTTGTGGTTGCAAACCAAAAGAGCTGATGTTTTTTTCGTACAAGGTAGATTGAGGGTGTAGAAGATAGATGAGATTGAATCAATATCGGGTTGTTAAGAAGAAAAGGGATCGAAGCTTTTCAAAGTTGAAGATGATGTTTAAGAAAGGAAGTTGACGAGTTTGGGAAAAGAAGTTTAGATGAGGCTAGAGTAAAAAGTAAACATTGGTTGGAAAAGGAGTCAAGGCAAATGAGAAGGCGAGTCAAAGCGGAGTCAAAGGTAGGATTTATCTGATGATGAAGTTCACAGGAGGATCGAATTCAATCAGTGAGGAAGGAAGGTGACAAAGAGCAGGGAAACAGAGTGTTGATGAGGACAAGAGCGCAGAGGGAAGAAAGTCGGCTGAGTTTTAAGTCAAACTCAAGGGACGAAAGCCAACTTGTCAAAGTCTGACTTTGAAAAAACGAAGGCACTCCTCAGAGGTCATAGCTCAATGACATCATCACTGGACGGACCTGAGCGTCATCCAGACCCAACACTGTGTCCGAACCATCTGGTTTCCTCGCCGTTCGAGTTGAAAAAACCTGATCGTCCGGCCGCCCATCGGGTCCTCAACATCGTCCCTGCGACGATGGCGTCCTCCAGAATGGTCATGCGACGATTCGCAAATTCGTCAAGGGAATCCGGCCGTCATCTCGATGGTCCGGTTCAGACGACTGTCCCGTGAACGCCTGTTGACGCGTTGGGGGGACCCTGGCATCCACAGGACCTCTGAGTTTGACCGACTGTTCCCTGAACAACTTTTCATGGGTCGAAGGGACCTAAGCGTCCTACAAACCATCAGGATCCCAACCATCTTGGTCGGCTACAACGTCAACAAGTGGCGCCCGTCGGATGACTGTTACACCACCGACGGTAAAACCCTGACGTTGCCTTGCGGTCCTAGCGGTTGCTGGGACGCATGGCTTTTTGGCTGGGTTTTGGGAACGTCAGAGGATCTCTCGATCGCTCCTGTGGTGTACGTTAATGGGGCCCAAATGATCTGGTAGAGCCAGTTCTGAACTCCTGCGGTGCGATTTATATGCCATTAGCTCAGGCCCCAGGGAACAGGTATGTATGTATGTCTTGAGGTCATTAAAAAACACTCGAGTTGTTCGAATTCACTTGAAGTTGGAGTCAGCTGATAATGATATGCGTCACCCGGTGGCGGACTAACAACCGCTATTTGCGATATAACAGAGTATAATTTGCTTGTCTTGGATCGAAAATGAATCTGAAAAAAAAAGACAGTACCTGATCTCAAGAGTTCCTCAGACCCGCTGGAATTCCGGCCAACGGTTCGTGATGCACTGAGCAATGATCGTCGACCGGCGTGAAAAGGGGAGGGGGGGTGTTGTTTCAATGAAGTGATCTTTCGACTCTTGTTACATAATGCAACATAACAGGCTGCTTATAATCCTCCACATTCATTCCCCAACCAGCTGGCGGTGATGTTTATGGGATTAGGAAACCCTGAAAGCTGAAAATGCTCAGATGATAAAATAGACATTATTTAGATATGGGTTTGTCATGTATGGGTTCGTTGAAAGTTTCCCCCAATCAGACCAGGTGCGACTGCTTCCTTCTGATCAGCTTCCTCTTTTGAACCATCACTCTCCAATCTGGTTGGATTGCACATATCATCAAGGATTATCATCATCATATCAGATTATCCTCATCAATCGCCCGCAAGGATTTCTAATCATATAATACTATATAATAATCCACTGCCCTTCCGCCACTCTCTGACTGCTAAGAACGTGCACCCCATTTTCATCCACCTCCTCGCACTTCCTCCCCCCCTGCCACCGGCTCGCTCGTACTGTTTACCATCTGACTGAACTCTCGCATCCTCGAAACATTTGTATCACTCCCTCCAAAAACCTTTGATCCGTCTAGCTCTAGACTAGATGAGTGCCCAAACCCAGTCCCGTCCCCATCCCAACGGAACCACCAATGGTGATGTTTCTCTACCTACGTTTGTTCATCGAGTCGCTAGCATTCCTGGTTAGTCTTGAGTTCTGTTGTCGGAAAGCCACTCCCGAGTGTTGATCAGGTACTGAGATCTCGTTCTGTGTGATGTTATGTACCTACCCTGGTCTGTCTGATCCATCATCAAAGTGATCGCCGACACCTGGACTGCCGTGTATTCGACTCTTCAAGCCCATCCTTACTCAGCAGCTGTTTATGGCAAAGCAGAGGGTGCGGTGCTCTACATGTATGAGCAGAGCAAACCGCTCCAGGTCAAGTTGGCCGGCCCGATCGAGCAAGTTGACGCCGTCGCCAACAAGGGTCTAGATTTTGTCCAGGCAAAAGCTCCAATTATCTGTAAGCATCTTAGCAATCAGATAAGAGACCTCTGGATTACGAGAAGCCGTTACTTGGCTATTGGATCTTGGTAACTAACGTCCCTCGCTTTCTTCTAAATAACAATTGGCTTGATCTTGTTTGGATGACTCGGCCGATAAGTCGAAGTCCGAACCGAGGACCTAATCTCACGAGCCAGAGAGCCAGCGAACCAGGTCTTGGCGTATGGTAAAACTTACCAGGAAGCTGCGACCGCTCGACTTGGCCCCATGGTCGAGCAATTTCACTCTCAACTCACCCGCTCTCAACAAACACTTGGACAGCTCCAGGAAAAACTTCAGGCGGGTCTCCAAAATATCCGAAAGGACCCCAAGGCGGTGCCCGATCAACTCAAGCATCTTTCCGAACAAGTGCTTGGTGAATTAGAACGATTGAGTAGCTTTGTGCTCGAAAAACGAAAAGATTTGGTACAGTGTCCCATGTCGTATCTCGAGCTAGATAATAACCTGTTGACTGATGGTCTTATCTCTTGTTCCATTTAATTGACCCACAGCCTCAAAACGCCCAGCAAGTGATCAACCCATTAGTAGAAAAGTTGCAAAAAGGATACGGTGATATCAAGGAGGAGATGACCAAGGCCGATGTACCGCTCGTCCAACGCGCCACCAACGTCTTACACTACTCGAAAGATCAAGCCTCTCCCGTGGTGCACGAAGCCGTGCAGGCATTCAAGAAGATTATTGGAAACTGATCCTTGTAAAATCTCTCTCTCGACCTTGAATCACTCGCCGGAAATCTTGTTTTCTAATGATTACGGAATGATCCGCCTTTTTTTCCTCGGCTACTCAATTACTACCTTTACCAGTTGTACTTTTTCAGATTTCATTTTTTTTGTAGCCCCCAAAACACGTGTTTCAAATTAGATTGTCATTGCAGGTATTCACGATATGGTTTGATGTTATCCTCAATCATCAGTGAGGTGTTTCTTCCTGAGTCCTGACTCTAGTCCGCAAAATATTTGGCCAAGCAGATGCGGATTTTGATGGCCTAAATCGATAGAGATGAAATGTATTGCCCGCCAGATGAATATTGCAAGTAAGAAAGACTGTGTAGCTTCGTAGTATGCAAGCATAACAGCTGAGGAACTGTCCGTAAATACACACCATTTCTGCAAAACTTAAAAATGAGATCATTCAGCTTGTGGATTCAAGAAATTTAAAATGAAAAGGAAATAGACAAATAATCATATTTCAATGTTTAAAATTTCCACCATGTGGGAAATGGCATAAGTCATGATGGTTTCTCCATCAGCCTCCGTACACAGAGTGCTCGGTGTTGTAACTGAGCGACACCCCGAGCGAAACCCCCCACATTAATATGTTGACACAGCAGTCTCCTCAATTACGAACCCAACAAGAAGCGATGCAGGCGCGAAATCATGTCTTGGCTCTTGAGTGGGGGTGTTGATACACCGCGCGAGCGCAGTGATCTCACACCAGTAACCTCCATATTGTAAGATCACGCGTGATCCCAGGCGGGTCAATGGTTTATCCTTCTCGCAAGAGACAAATTGTACCGGACTCGAGTATCCTTGAAACCTGCCCGGCACCGTTGAGGAAATGTCTCCATTGTGGCCGCAGCTACCCTATATTGCTTATATTGCTTCTCTTGTTTGGTACAAGTTTGTCTACCCTACTTGCTGATCAGTCAAGGAATGAAAATATCAGGGTGCCGCGTGGCTGTGTTTGGTGGGGAGGAGGTGGTTCCGGAGTACATACAGTCTTGATCAACTCCTCCTCAAGACATATTGTGGGCCAGGTGAGGTGCTATCGACGAATGAAAAGCTGAGGATGTGGCGATGTTTAATGAGGAGGACTCGGTTCTGGAGTACAGTCGTTATTGACTCCTCCGCAAAACAAGAATCGAGGACCCATCACGATCAGATATGAAGATTGAACTCGGGAGTCATCGGCGCCGGCAGTCCAATCACATCGCATATCAATCAGATCATTGATGAGCGGTGCTATCGAGGTGCCGGTATCAATAACTGCCGAGTTCCAGGTTCATAAACTAGAGCATTTGTTGTTGCAGAGACCAAGCAAGACGAGCTTGAACAAGCAACACACTCGGAACAGTGTCACCGCAAAAGCTATTCAGATCCGATTGGCCTCGGTGTGACTGTCTTGGTGAAGGCATTCAAGCAGTGTTGGACCAGGTTTCCGCTTGATTGTGGATGCCCTCGATGTGGGGATAACGGGAGGAGGTACACGAAAGATGATTGTATGTCACTGTGCGATCAGCCTTTAGTCACACACTTTCTCTGGAATGGGTCCCATAGCTTTCCTCAAGCATAAATAGAGCTGCCTTTCCGACCGCTCTGGCAATCACCACCATTCCCAAAGCAACCAAAACATTCAAAAAGAGTCTTAAAATCACTGAACTCCACCAAACCATTACAAATCTTTAGATTCCTTCACAATCATGTTTTTCCAAACCCGCTCAATAGTCATTCTAGCTATCGGGAGCGTGACATTAAGTCACTTACCTAGCGGTGGGATGGCCGAGTCTGTTTGTGCGAATTGGTGGAACAGCTTGCCTGCTGGTCAAAAACCAGCATTCTCGGTCAAAGTGGTGAGCAATCACTCATGCGCTTGTTTGACACAAAACGTGCTGATAATTGGCTACGCCCACAAGCATAAACAGCCAGATGAAAACTGTGGCCGGATCGATGGGAGAAACGCTGCATTTAATGTAAGTCATTGATGAGGTTATTGTCTTGAAATAGAGAGACCCAATGGTAATCCAACAATGTTTTTATGGATCTGTTGGATCTTTTGAACCGTCTTCCGATTCACAGACTACGACCCTGACTCCAGGGACCGGAGTAAGACCCTTTTCATCCTTGTCTGGGATGGAATTGCCACACTTTTAACTCACATTAAACTACTTGATAACATAGGCATGTGGTATAGCTTACAACGATGATACTAAGGGAGCATGTTTGTGGGGCGGGTTGAACTCAGTGGAACCGGTGCCTCAGGATCAACAACCCGGATGGCTTACAGGGTCAGTGAATTTCAAATGAAGAAGAAAATAAAAACACTTTAAAGCTGACGCTCCTTTTTTGATTTTAGAGCAAATACCAAAAACTGCGGGAAAAAGTTGTCAGTGGTTTCGATCCAATTAGTTAAACATCAAAGACAGACAATCTGATTGTTTATATTGGTTGGGCTCAAATGTTTTAGTTTCATAAACCGGGGAGACCATCATGCCACTGGAACATTTGTGGACTCTTGCTCGTTTGCTGGGGCCAAGAAACTTACAATTGAAGAAGGTTGCTCGACCATTTATGTCACTTTAGCTGTAAGCTTCTCCATCCCAAAAATCACATTCACCCTCCTTTACATGAAATCAAAAACTCAAACTCAATTCTATTTTTTTTGATCAATCTTATCTGCTTAGACATACAAGGATCTTGGTGGTGATCCTTCTGGCACAATGAGAATTCAAGTTGATAACTGGGATTTGTGAGTCTCAATTTTTCTCATGGCTCTCCTTTTCCTCTTTCATTAAAAAAAAAAAAAAAAAAAAATGCATGGTAACTCATTATATCCTTTGATCCTAACTTTATAAAGTGATGCAAGCACTCCTCCTCAATGACCTGAATTCTGCCTACTTGGATTGCTCTCATTATCCACAAATATGAGAGAATTCTTTCCTGACTTGCATTATCTTCGAGCCTGAATTGTTTTGATATCATATCATATGTAAATTATCGGCTGTTATTGATATATATTCAGCCCCTGTCTTTTTCCTTCAAAGAGGGCTCATCATACCTGAATCCCTTGCTCCCAAAGAGTAGAATGTGACTGTAGAATGTTTTCATTTTGGAATTTTCTATCCTTGTGATTATGCTCTGACATTTAGTTTGTATCTTAGCTCAAATGCAACCCTTCTCATCTCTTGCCATTGGTTAGTGTGGCCTATGTGAATTGACAGTAAAAAATCAAACCGAAAAATAGGTTTGCACACCACATCAAAACAGGCAGGACAGTTTCAGAAAATAGGCCAGTTCACGTCTGAAGTTCAAGGCAAGTTTTAGCACTTTTATGGATAAAATTTTATGAATTTTGTCAAATCTCATGAATCATCAGGTTTGGAGGAATTTGAGATTTTGGACAAACTTGGAAAATTTCAGTGATAAATGCTATAAAACTTGCTCCAAAGTTCAGACGTGAACCGTCCTAATGGAAATAAAAAAAGTGTCAGAAATGGGTGTCTACAAAAAACATTTCATGAGGATGAATGCTGGATTGGGTGTCCATGAAATTATACCAGAAGTTTGTATATGTCCTCTGAAAGATGAAGAAAATCTAGTAGGTTTTGAGGATTTTTGCAACCAAATCAAAACCATTGATCTGCTTGATTCTTGTATTCCTTTTCAGTTAATTCAGACATTCACCACAATCCCTCTCACCTTGATTCTAGCTGTAGATTGAGAAAAATATTTGTGGCCACAAAAAGGTCTGACCGTCTGTTAGAACAGGGCTTATCGATCTTGGCATCGATGGTCCCGGTAGGCTGTCTATCAATATATATTGTTATAAACCCAAAATCAGGCAACTCTTATGTTCATGGGACATCAGTGGAAGTGCTCAATGAATTGTCATCGGCATTTTTCACCGGTTGCTTGTTTTGTCCACTTGAACCGGCTGTATTGGGGGCAATGTGCGCTGCTGTGACACCTGGAGGTAGAAGGACGTGTCCGCAGCAGCTCTTCCCGCAGTCTCCCTAGCCCCGAGCCAGGTGGTAAACTGGCGAAAGGGGGCTTGAGATGATGTCGTAGTCAATTCCAGCCAAGCGAGAACTACTATCGGATCGACCGATCAACTGACTATCAGCAACCACCCAAGGTACATATCATCGACAGTCAAGCAGAAGAACTAAACCGAAGTATCCATACAACGACTTACAACATAACAGATTAATCGGCTTCAGGCAGTCTCAATAAGTCGGTCCTGGTTTCTAGCATGAATTTCAGCGTCGAGGTAGGTTCTTCATCATCTCTTGGTTGTATTCCCCTAAACCTGCTGAGGAAAGAGAAGTATTAGACTCGAACGCTTATCTTATTTTTTCCTCATCTGTCCTTCGAAAATAGGATGTCGAAGACCGTGATGGTACCCGCTTGTCGTCCGTCTCCCTCAAGTATTCCTTTGATTAAGAAAATGGAACCAAATTCTCAGGACAATACTGATAGATGATAATTACAATCCCATTTATTTTTCTGATTTGCAATCAACTGGTGATTTAGATGGAATGTGTGGCCCGGCTCAAGATTAGAAAGCACCAGGACGGTGGTCCCAATCGCAGCTCTCTACACTCCTCTCAAGCAACGAGACGATCTTCCGCCAGTTCTCTACGAGCCCGTGACCTGCAAGCCTCCCTGTCGAGCGATCCTTAATCCTTACTGCCAAATCGATGTTCGCGGCAAGTTATGGATCTGTCCCTTCTGTCTACAACGCAATGCCTTTCCACCGCACTACAAAGACATCTCTACTACCAATTTACCTGCTGAACTCCTGCCCAAGTATACAACAATCGAATATACGTTAAATCGACCGGCCCAGATCCCCCCGATCTTTCTATACGTCGTCGACACTTGCCTGGATGAAGAAGACTTGAAAGCATTGAGAGCTGAACTCGTCATCAGTTTGAGTCTTTTGCCTCCAACTGCCTTGGTTGGATTGATTACTTTTGGCACAATGGTGAGCTTATCTATGATTCTTGAACACTCGTTTTTCAGTTTTTCATGTGGAGGATAGAAGATTATATTGATGTTTTTTCATTATGTCGGTCCCTAATCAGACCCAAGTGCATGAGCTAGGCTATGCCGAATGTCCAAAATCGTTTGTCTTCAGAGGCACCAAGGATTATTCGCCCAAGCAGATTCAAGACATGCTTGGACTTGGGGGACAAGCAATGAATCGGGCTCCGAATGCACCTATGCCAGCTCCAGCTCAACAGGGAACCGCCCGCTTCTTGCTACCAGTCCAGCAGGTAGAGTTTTCACTCACCGGAATACTCGAGCAACTTCAGCGTGACCCATGGCCAGTCGCCAACGACAAGCGTCCTCAGCGTTGTACTGGTGTGGCCGTCAGCGTAGCAGTAGGATTATTGGAGGTAACTTATTTTTCCTCACTTCAATCAGTCCGTCCGTTCTGGCTAACTGGATCCCTCCCCCCTCTGCAATGTTGCTCTATGGCAATATTCAGACGACCTTTCCAAACACAGGTGCCCGAGTAATGTTATTTGCCGGTGGGCCGCCATCAGAAGGGCCAGGACAGGTTGTCTCCACAGAGCTACGAGAACCTATTCGATCTCACCATGATATTGATCGTGATAATGTCAAATATTTCAAACGGGCCTGTAAATTTTACGAATCGCTTGCCAAACGAGCGGCAGCAAATGGACATGCGATCGATATCTTTGCAGGGTGCTTGGACCAAGTCGGATTACTAGAAATGAGATCATTGGCCAACTGGACAAATGGGTTCATGATCTTATCCGACTCATTTACCACCTCGATCTTCCGACAGTCATTCCAAAAGCTTTTCGAGAAGGATGATGACGGTCAACTCAAGATGGGATTCAACGCGACCTTTGACGTCCAGACTACGAAGGAGTTGAAAGTTTCCGGTCTGATCGGACATGCTGTATCGGCCAACAAAAAATCGGGATGTGTGGGTGAAACTGAGATCGGAATCGGACAAACATCTGCCTGGAAGATTTGCTCTCTTACACCCAGGACATCGAACGCGGTTTATTTTGAGGTGGTCACTCCAGCGGGTACTCCTCTAGCGCCCAATTCGAGGGGATGTATACAGTTCGTAACTCACTACCAACACGCCTCCGGCCAATTTCGACTACGGGTTACCACCTTAGCCCGTGTCTTTGCCGAGGCAGGCAATCCGATCATCGCCTCATCTTTCGATCAAGAGGCGGCAGCAGTCCTGATGGCGAGGATTGCGGTCTTCAAAGCGGAAATCGATGACTCACCCGATGTGCTCAGGTGGCTAGACCGGATGCTTATCCGTCTCTGTCAGAAGTTCGCAGATTATAGAAAAGAAGAGCCGAGTAGCTTCCGTTTGGCAGACGGATTTAGTATCTATCCTCAGTTCATGTTCCATCTAAGGAGAAGTCAATTCCTACAAGTCTTTAATAACTCACCTGATGAAACAGCGTTTTACCGGTAAGTCTTACGTATCTTTTTCTTTAATAGAACCCAGATTGACTGATCACTCGCTTGATTGCAGTCACATCCTGAATGCGGAAGATGTCAATAACTCACTTGTCGCCATTCAGCCCACACTGATGTCGTATGGCCTGGACTCTGAACCATCTCCGGTTCTATTGGATTCGGTCTCAATACAAGATAACACGATTCTCCTCCTCGACACATTCTTCCATATCTTGATTTTCCATGGTGCGACGATTGCCCAATGGCGCAAAGCTGGCTATCATGAACAAGAGGACTATGCCAACTTGAAAGAACTTTTACAGAGGCCTAAAGATGATGCAGCGGTTAGTGGATTCCTGATCCGTTTCTTTAGGAACAAAATGGACTGGGTTTATCTGGATTTGGCTGATTGAATTTGTTGGCCTTGAATAGGATTTGTTATCCGATCGATTCCCAGTCCCCAGGTATATCGTCTGTGATCAAAATGGATCTCAGGCTAGGTTCCTGTTGTCCAAATTGAATCCATCGACTACTCATGCTAGTGGGGGTGGAATGTATGGCCAACAATCTGGTGGTAGCATGATCTTCACAGATGATGTCTCCTTACAAATCTTTATGGAACACCTCAAAAAGTAAGCCAGTTTTTTTTTTTTTTGGACCTCCAAAATCCTGATTTGATATCATTTTTTCAAAACCACCCCCGTTGCTGACCCTGTTTCAATTTCCCTCTCCCTTGTCTTTTTCACCTTGATCAGATTGGCAGTCAGCGGATCAAATTAACCCGGGTATTGATGATCATTGTAATTGGATTTTAGGCGTCTCAGGGATTTTGATTCTTCTACTACCATGCTCGAAAGATGATTGTCCCAATGTTCTGCTTTCTCTCTCTCTCTCTCTCATTTTTCCTTTCTTAAAGCTTCGAGTGATGTGAGATCATCCAAGGATCGATATGTAAATTTGTTGTCTGAGGATCTCTCATCGCTCTCCGTTTGTTTGTTTAGTTTCCATTGGTTTGTGATTCCAAGTTTATCCATACACACATACATACATATATACATCTTGTCTCTCTCTCTTTCTCTTATCACTATAGTTCTGATATAGAATCCATATGCTCTTTTCTGGGCCTCTTCACATACCTCCTGTTACCGGTGGATAGAGAGACTTGTAAAGAGAAACCATTTTACATACACAATGTTGGGTGAAGTCCAAACCATGGGAATAAAGCACCCATGTTGGGTTAGAAAACAAGAAAGACAACACCTGATACATACATACGCTCACTCATTCACTCAGCTACAGAAGGCCATAAGCATCCATAATTCTGCAGGTTGAAATTGAAGTTGAGTAGAAGAAGCTTTGATTGTAGATCAGTGGACATCAGATAAATATCTTAGTTTCCGTGACGGAGACGGAGATCCAGCTGAGTTTTCAAATGTGTATTATTAGTATTACATAAGCCTCCGCTCGAATTGAGTTTCTGACCAGTTTAATCTGAATCTGACATTTGATCAAAACCCAGCCCCGTCGTGTTGCACCACCCTTCACAGCACTATCGAGATGTCCAGCCTACCAAGCCAAGCCACCACTACCACCACCACCACTCGCCGAGCAGCAGTTGCTAGTAGATTGAAGCCATCGATTGCCCAATCGATCATCAGACCACAGAACCTCTCAACTAACATCTTCACCAGCAGCACCAACAAGAAACAAGCAAAGACCAACGACGACCAGGAGAACAACAAGCAACCCACTCCTTCCGCCAATCCTGCAGCAGCCTTCTCCTCCTCCTCGCAGTTCCCATTCTCATTCCCTCATCTCGCCGGACTCGGTCTCGCAATGGCTTCTAACACTCTCAACTCCAACGATCACCACCATCATCATCATCATAACATGGAACACTCCTCTCCTGCCCTCGAGCCTGAGGTTATGAATCATTGTTCGATGAACATGGTTAGCTTTTTCTATCATACTTGTTGTTGTTGTTGTTTTATCGTAGGAAGTAAGCAATGCTAATCATCTTCTTACTATCTCATTCAGGTCTTTAACTCGCAACCAATCGGTACCTGCATCGTGTGAGAGAGCCTGATTGTTACAACTTATCACTTCAGCACCACGGAGCTGATAGAAAACCTTCTGGACACTCGAACAGGTTCCGACAGTTCTACGTCTCAGGCACGATGGCCTTACTATTCTACTTGAGCCTATTATTTGTGATAGCCGTAGGGTATGAGTATCTAAGACTAGCGAGCAACCGATTTGAGAGGATGATCCAAGTCAAGCTGAGCGGAGGGGCTTCCAAACGAGCCCTCTCTCCCCCACGAAGAGTGTCCTCTAACGAAAACCTGATCGATAATCCTGCGGCTAGTCTCGTCGACGGATCTAATCTTAGTCTTATTAACCCCAAACTCGCTAGTTGGGGTCAGATCTCCGTCCCCCGCTCAATCCAATTAACTCGTAGTCTCTTCTACGTCTCTAATGTCGCGCTTTCTTTCTTTTTGATGCTGGGTCAGTCTGCCTTCACCAATTTCTTTTTTTCCCTGTAGAAGACTTTTTTCAGTTGCATTGGGACCTGACGCTTCTAACTTTTCTCGTTTGTGTTCCGTTCAAACGGCATAGTTGTTATGACCTACAATGCCCAAATTATACTAGCAGTATTAGCGTGAGTGAAAGTTCTTCATTTTCCTAGGCTGGTTTGCCAGGAAGAAAACCATTTTAAAGTGTTCGGGACGCTGATATACCTCAATCTCTTTCATTGTTGATTTTAGAGGAGCCTTTGTTGGGCATTTCGTTTTTCATCGAGAGATTTCGTTCGGCCAACCCGACAAAGGAATGGCGTGTCATTAATCGGCACATAACCGGGCCCGATCTACTCCAGAGCTACATACCGTTATAACACAAAACGTGTATACATACACACTTTCTGTCTGGCCGTCTCTGCTGCTGTTTGTTTTGGCTCGGATTTCTCCGTTTCTGTTCTACTAGTCCTACTATCAACGCTTGCAGACAGTTCCATCTATCCACCCACACAACATATAACAAAAAAAACGACTCTGAAGCATTTGTTTGTTTGTCTATCGACCATATCCCACTTTCACCGTTCCCAATTTCTCCAGCCTCACTCATGACTACACTCTCTCACATCTCGTTCTGAATTGTTTGTAGTCGCGCTCGAACATCAATCATGGTCTGATACGTATACCATCCCAGAAAACAAGAAAATGTCTGTCTCTTTTGTGCATGTTGCTTGTGGATTAGTAAAGTGAAGATACGAAATCCAAACCTTTACAAACTCTTCATTCGTGCGAAGCCTTCAGCTTAAGTGTAGCGCAGGCCCAGTATTGTCCCCTAAACAGCTTTGTTGTGAAGCACTGTGTTTTTGAACAGCTGGTGTGCAAGTTTATTGCATCAGTTTTGGGTGGACTCTCATAAAAATAACCCTGCTCATTGTCAACAAGCATCTTCATGGTTGGTCCTAAGGGTGGACTCATTTGATCCCCTCCAACCGTTGCCTTGAGATGCCCCCCATCCAGAGACAAGAGTTGAAGAATAGTGACTGCAAGTCATCGCCTCATGACACACGTCCGAGAAATGACCATCCGCATTTGTACGTCCCGCATGTGTACCACAAACACTTCCAATGACAGTGGCTGGATGTGGCGAAGGGTGACTGCGACAACACAAGAAGCTACAAAAGGTGCCGGGATTTGCGGGAAGGCCAATATGTATCATCCTCAGCTTCCGATCGACCACCGTGCTCACAAGATCTGAATTTCTCTGAATTTCCATCCCCCTGCTCAGTGCCATTGAGCTCTCGCTGGTTCCAGCTCAAGTATCACACCAATGGAGTCAAGCGAGCAACAAGACAAGTCGGATTTGAACGCCTTGGAAAATCAAGGCCAGGTGAACCGTACACATCACACCGGTCGATCGTCTGCTGTTAGTCGTCTGGCGATCTTCATGCACCACATCTTCTTCAATTTTGCCTTTCGGTCTGACACGTGTTGCTCTCGAAGCGCTCTTCTGGGCCGGACATACAACTTGCTGATTCGACTGAATGTGTCGGTGTATTGGTTTCTTCCGGCTCTAGGAATCTATCACCCATTCGTTTCCTAAATCTCAAGAGCAGATCATTATTGGCGAAACCGAGAAACCGATCTCAGACTCACGCGACGTGGAGAATGATAACACTTCCGAAAAATCCCAGAACGACGCAAGAACTGGAAAACAGCCCCCACAATGGTGGCCTTCACTAATCAAATGGAATATGAGGGAATCTACAGGTCGCTACAAACGAATGGCGATCCACTTATGTTAGCTAGTTCTCAGAGGCCTGCATGAACTGCATCCTTCTGCAAAATTACAATGCGCTGATCAAAGTATATGTTTTCTCTTCAAAACAAGTCTTTGTGAGTATCTTATTGGGATGGTGGATATCAGGGCTCGTATTGAAGGAGACAAGACACAAATGGGTGATAACAACCTTTTGGACGTGGTTGATCTTACTAATAAGTTGAGTATTTTCTTTTCAAAAAAAAAAATGATGATTGGGGAAGCAACCTAAAAATCGATTTACCAAACCCACGATTCTCTCAGTTTTTTTTCGATGGGTACCGACAAAATATGTGACCCGACCGATTGGAAAAACTTACATGACCCTGATTGGAAATCCGATCATGAAGTCAACAAACCACAGGGTGCGACTATCAATCGGCTGGTTGATCTTACTTGGATTGTGGTTGGGAAGCACTTTTGGAATCAAGTTGGCCCAAGGAAGCAATTATACAGGTCGGCTGAGATCCTTAGTAGGCGTGATAGTCTTCCAGCTCGGGTTTTGGTTCGTCTGGCTTCCTTATGTTACTAATCATTTTTGGAAAAAAAAAATGCCCCTCATCCATGAACTAATTACATCTGTGGTAACTTCTTATCCATAGGGCCTCATCTAGAACTAAGAGTCTGATTCGCTGGAGAACTATCATAGTCGGGTTGATTCTTCAACAGCTTTTAGCTCTGGTGGTTCTGAAATCTAAGGCCGGGTAAACATATAACTTCCTTTCAACAAAGAACATTCAAAAAAAAAAAGAAAAAAAGTGAAGCAAGCCGAGCGGAAAAGAGAGGAAAAAGAGCTGAAACATTCGATGCTCACAGGCGAACTATAATTTGAAGAAGATATTAATTCATCTTTTTTTTCACTCATAGGTATGATTTCTTCAATTGGATTGCAAAAGCTGCAACGGATCTCTTGGACCAGGGCACGAAAGCCGGGGGGTTTTTCTTCTCGTCTCAAGTGCTCGAATACCATTGGTATTGTACGTTCTGATCATGAAAGATTCGATCGCAAGCAAAAGAAAATAAAGAAATGAACTCAAGTTGCCTCTTCTTTATCCACTTCTTTTTTCATCGGTTGCAGTTGTAAACACACTAGCGGCGATAATCTTCTTCATAGCACTGGTCCAGCTCCTTTGTAAGTAACAACTGACATCAACATCACCCAAACATCTTTATGTTTGTTGAGATAATTCAACATGTACTTTTGAATGGATTTATATGAACAGACTATTTTGGGGTCATGCAAGCTATCATGATAAAATTTGCCTGGGTGTTTTATACCTTGATGGGTGTTAGTGGTGTTGAAGCTTTGACTGCAGCAGCTTCGCCGTTTATTGGCCAGGTCAGAGGTTTGCACTATTTAACATCGTGTTATGTCTATTGATTGGCTTACTTTTCGCTTTGGATTTCTGGATTTGTTTGCTTCAATAGGGCGGAAGTTTTGTCCTGATACGCGTTTGTCCTTCCAACTGAAATAAACATTTGTCTTTGGATCATCACTCCATCTTGATACTGATTTGACGATGAATGAAATTTACGTTTGTGTAGCCTTTCGCCGCACAAATGACTGCCGCTGAGATTCATCAGGTCATGACCTCGGGATTTTCGGCGATATCAGGAGCTGTCTTGACCGCATATGTGGCCATGGGGATCCCAGCAGTTTATCTGATCAATGGTGAGAGCATATGTAGACCCGTATATCATAGAAAGCAGGGCTCGGATCAATTTGAAATGGTACTTACTACTTTCTGCAGCATCGACCATGAGTATACCAGCTTCTTTGGCGATCAGTAAGCTGAGATTCCCGGAAGACAGCCAGCCTCTCACCGCCGGCAAAGTCATCATTCCCGAAGACGAGCATACCAATCGGAAAGACAGCAATGCAATCATGGTTTTTTCCGATGGTGCTTGGCTTGGTCTCAGAGTGGCTGGAACAATGTAAAGATCAGGTCGATTTTTCTTGATGAATTGTATACGATGATGTTGATCTTTTGGACCGATTTATCGATAGACTTGCCAACCTGTTAACAATTCTGGCACTATCATATACCGTCGACGGCTTGTTGACATGGATTGGTCAATTTTGGGGAATGGATCCGAATGGCGCCCATCCGCTAACCCTCGAATTGATCTTTCAATACTTACTTTATCCAGCGGCTGTGAGCACCGCTGTTTATCTTTTTTTTTTCCTTTCCATGATGATGATAGCCAGGGACGTCGTTTTAGTTAATGAAGATTTGCATCCTTTGGAATTTAGTGGCTCATGGGCACACCCAATCAAGACGTCTTAAAAGTCTCGAGACTCTTGGCTATCAAGTTGATCACAAATGAATACGTTGCTTGTTGAGTGATCACACCCTTTTTGATGTTTATTATGTCGCCTCAATCCAGCTGTTAGCTGGATATTTTTTAACATGTAAAACGCTAATTTGGAAAATATTCTACTTTTATTTTTGCTAATTAGACCGAGAGTTGTCTAAGCTGCAACCCGAAATGACTGAGAAGGGAACACTAATTGCCATCTACAGTTTGTGCGGATTCGCCAATCTAGGTAGCCTGGGAATCCAAGTTAAGAAGCCAGTTTCATCCCATCCCTTCCGCATAGCATGTCCATTTAATACATGAGGTCTGATTACATATTAATCTCTCCTTTGTTGAAAAACAACAAAACATTCAAACCATAGATTGGGGTCTTGAATAGTCTAGTACCCTCAAAAAAACATGTGATCAGCAGAGTTGCAATCTCTGCCTTACTGTGCGGCTTCTTTTCGACAATTCAGACGGCTGGTGAGTTCTGCCAATGCATGAATAAGTGTCTTGCACATTTGTCTGGATGGAACCTAATTTGCTTTGCCTTCCAGCTATCGCAGGAATGATTTTTTGAATTGATTTGAAAATACTCGAGCCCATGGCGGCTTTGCAACCGCGCTGCCATGCTCCCAACTTCTAATAGTAGCTCAAGTGCATCTCTGACGGAGCGCGGGTGGATTGAGCTGTTTTCAGCAGGCTCACTCAAGTTTCACACAGAATAACAGGTCTCACACCTGCTGTTTTTCCAATTTCTTCCAAGCCACCCTGGATAGGGAGAGGGAAATAGACAGCTAGGACCTGATTTTAGCAGGTCTGCTCCAATTTGATGAAGTCCCTCCTACATACACAAGATCAAGTTCCAGGTGTATTTGAGATATATTTAAGGTCTGCTGAGCCCAAACATACAGCTATAATGAGAAAGCTTGCGGGCTCCAAAGTCAGAAAATAAAAAAAATAACAAAAAAATCTACCAACTACAGTTGGGATTTTGGAAGAATACAGGTTCATGTATGGATGCATGTTGGGTGAAATTTGCTATTTGTTCTCTCATTTTCAGGTGATGAGAGTAACATCATCGGAATCCTGTGGGTGAAACCCAATCCAAGCCGTCTCCGTTTCTTTTAGTCTCTGCACACTTTTCCGGAGGGGGGGGGAAACTTTTGGCTATGCCTCAGTTCCAAGAAACCCTCCGTGAGCTCACATGGTCCCCGTCTTTGGGACGGGTTTTCATGCGCGCGGTGTATGGGTCTCGGGGAGAGCCTCAAGCCTCTGCAAGGGGAATACCTAAACTGAGATCCTCATTCGTGTAGAAAGGAATTCAGCAGTAGGTATCTTGCAGGGACAAGACTCTGCTCCTGAAGCAGAGAGAAAAGAGCTTCGCTGAAGTGACATCAGTGAGAGGGGGGGGAAGGTTCGCGCTACGCCTGAAACTCAGGGAGAAGCCTGAGCCTACGCGAAACCCCCAACTTCGAAGCTGAATTTCTCAATGCTCGAGACGGATAGGGCCGTCATCTAATTGTTCTAGAATACAAAGCGTCACACTCAAATCTTCTGGCGTGTATGGTTTTATGTAGAGTTTGTAACAAGAAGATGTCCAACGGCCGAGTTTGCAAATAGTAGTTATATCTACCTCCAAAGCGTTGCGTAAGGACGCGCCGCCAACCCTAAAGGAGTGGCCGGAGAGATTCGTGAGGCCAATCCCCCTCCATGCCGAATCGAGGCGACGTTTGCAATAGCTTTTTGTCAAGTTCTTTCGTTCTGTCGAAGTATTGAGTCCGAAAAGGGAGTCGCCCGCCTCTCCGGATGAGATTCTCCTGATGAGGGCCCGCACAGGGCACAGCTTATTGTTTGTCGCCGTCAGTAGAAGGTGTTGCACCTCACCGCCGACTGCTGTTTTGGCGAAATAGATTTTGATTAGCGCCGACTGCGCGTCGTCCGCGACCCGTACGTCTGATATACGGACGCCGTCGCCCTTTCTCAATCGGCCGACGTTGATATCTGAAGCTAGCTCGCCTAACCTAGCCATGCCCCAAAAGGCCACTAGCGACATGTCCAGCAATACCAATCCCAAATCGTCGCCTTTCGAGAGGTGGTCGTGTAGTAGCAACAGGTGTTCGACCATTACCGGCCGTTTCGTTTTTGTTCGGACAAGAAGTGCGTCCGCTTTTGCTGAAGCTTTCAACATTAAAGCGACCTTGTTGTTTGAAAGAGAAGGGTATTCGGCGCCGTGGTAGACGTGCCACGCTTTTAGGCCGTGTAAGTACTTGGTCAAAGTTACCCCGGATATTTTGTCGGGGTTTGAGTCTCCTTCCGTTCTGCCGGCCCAGTAGCAGAAGCCGTAGATCTCTTCTGCGGTCGCCGGCAGTTCGAAACGTCTGTTAATTTTCAACCGCGCGAACCTGAGGAATTTCCTTACCGCGGAGTTGTAGCTCCGCAGAGTACTACTCCTCCAACCGTTCAAGACATGTTTGTCTAGGTCGGAGGGCTCTCTAAGCGAGGAACCGGTAGAGGTGAAATCCTTCATTAAGATGAGAGTCGCGAGGAAAATCACGATGTGTCCAAGCACAGATGTTGGACGTGAGGAGATAGATGTGAACACAGTGTGAAGGAGTAATATTGTGCCGACAAATGATTCGTGTTACAAGAGGAAAAAACGAACTATATGATAAAGACTACTTGTGAAAGGATCCCTTTCAGGTCAGGTGGGATTTCTATGACCAACTGCTGTTTCACGTGCTGTCCAGATCTTATCCCTCTTGACAGTGCATCTGCTTTATTGTCCTTAGACGAAACCCGTTTCGCTTGTAGCTCGACCCCTTCTTGGATTAATATCTTTTGTATTTTCATCCACTCTGCGTTGGCCATACAGTCCCTGGATTTCTTGTTATTAATCCCGTTCTCGGTAGTCGTATTATCAGTCCAGACCATTAGCGTCTTGCCGCGTTGGGTCCTCAACTTCAAAACCATCAACAATCCAAGCCTGATGGCAACCGTTTCTAGGTAAGAGATCCTTAACGGGTTAGACTTGGGATCGTGTAGCTTGAACTGAGCCCATCTCTTGCCTATCAGTATTCCGATTCCAAAAGATGTGGACGCATCTCCTACCCAACCTATGTCCACGGGTGGGCCATAGTTGATTATTCTAGTATGTTCGAAAGATTTGAGCGTGGCAACCCACAACGACAAATCTTCTAGAGCGTCCGGAGGTGTTGGCCGACGCGCTTTCCTCATTCGCCAAGAAATCAACCAACGATATAGAGAACACAGGTGACATTTCAGATGGGGCAATATGTATGCCACATGATTCAACCTTCCTATTAATATCTCCACGTCCTCGTAGTCGAATGTTGCTTTCTCCTCTAGAAAGGGCATTATTTGACTAATTCTTTTCTCTATTTTTCTATCTGGTAGCCTCACGGTCTTCTGTATCCCGTTCCAAATAAATCCGATAAACTTTTGTTCGTCCTGAAATGGAGAATATTTCTCTTTATTCGTTAAAACGCCCAATTCAGTAGAGAATTCGACAATCTTCTCCATCGATATGTCGTCCCCTTGCAACCTGATAAACAGATTATCATCGACCCATCGGAAGATATTTAACAATTTGAAACGCTTCTTCATGATTTGCTTCCACGCGTCTGCGGGGCGTCCAAACGAGCCACATCCCGCTACTCCGCCAAAGGTGATACGGGTGTCCAATAGAAATTCTCCATTGAAATCCTTAACTAATAAAAATTTCCACTGATCCATCCGCGTCGGGATTTGCCTGTACGCTTTCTCCCAATCGAACAAAGCCAACTCCATCTTCCGCTTGTCTTTGGCAAAGAATTCTGAGACTACACGGAAATCGTCCCACGTGGTTTCAAAATCGTGTTTGTTGACGAAAGAATTCACCGATCTTACAACTGGATCGTACCTTGGGAATGACAGGTCGTTTATCGGTCTGATGGCTCCGTCGCCATTAACTACTGCTCCTAAAGGATTCGAGCGAAAAAATTCAAATTTCTTCATGACCTGATTTAGAGTGAACGGGCCAAACATCCTTTTCGCTAGCAATTCTTTCTTAATAGATTCTTCAACCTTGGATTTAACCTTTTCTGATGAGCTGTGGTTATCTGGTGTATAATATCTCAAACCTGGTATAGTATGTTGAGGTATGCCTTGGTCGAAACCAATCCTAAAACCCTCGAGTACATCGTTAAATTCAAAGGACAAACCATATTCTGTTAGAGTTAATTCCCAAGCCTGAATATTCATTTCACATCTTATTTCATTCGGCCATTCTGGTCCTTGTGAATACTTGCTCTCTTTATTAGATTTCATTACCAATAATGTATTTGACTTGGAAGAAAAATCATCTAGATTCAATGAAGGAGAACAATGTCTATCTAATCTATTTGTCAACGGAAGAATACAAACGAGAAACGATCATAAACAAAATGGAGCGACCTGCTTTGCTTAGGAAATTACAACATGACGACTGAATTATGTTGCCTACAAATTATCGTTTCCCTTCCCTTTAGACATTTCATTCTTGGCCGGGGGCTTAGAAGAGTTCCCTTTGTTAAAAGCGGGTCTGTCTTTCCCAAAACCTCCCCTCTGATCATACCCTCCACGTTGGGTGTAGTAATCATGTCTTCCTTGCGAGTAATCTTCTTGCTGATAAAATTCCCTCGGACGTTTATTCATGCCACCTGATTGATCGTGTCCATAGGAATCGTCGCGATAGTTTCCGTAGTCCGAATTTCGTCTTTCTTGATGGAATCTGTCTGAGCCCCTGCCTTGCCTGAAGTTGCCTCGGCCTCTTGAGCTCCTATTATCGACTTGATGTGATGGTTCGTCGACGGTTCTACCTTTAGCAATTTTTGGTTTTCCGGTCTTCGGGTCAAAGTTGAATTTGGGTCCGTCTTTCGCGTAAGGGTTATCAGAAAACTCGAGTTCGTCTAGGTTTCTTGTCACCTTCCACGCCTCCCGTTTGACATCCTTCCTGAAGATGGATATGTCTACCGCAGATATGCCCTGTTCGGTCTCTACCTGGTAGGAGAAGGCATTCTGCCTAATGATCAGGTCGTATCGGAAACCGACTAGAAAGCCATCTTCAGCGATGATTCGGTCAACATTTGCCTTATGTTCTAGAATCCATTCCGCGAAATCCGGGTAGTTGTACAGGTCTCTGAAAATCACGTGGAAATTGCGATGGTTTGCCGTCCACTTCGCGAATGTTTGGGTCCACTCGTTCGGATACTCGAAACCAGTGTAACTTCCTTCCTTTTCGTCGCCTTTCGATCTCTTGTTTGTATGATATTGAATGGCTTCTTCTTGCCATTTCTTGTCAAAAATGGTCAAGGGAATCGGGCCCCTTAATTCTCTAATATTCTTGTCGAAATAAGGAGTAAAGCCGACATCGAAGTGTTTTGGTAAAGAGCCTCTGACGAAGATGATAGATGTTTTATCTGGTGTCTTCTTTGAGGAGGATGGGGCTATAAGGGGATTCCCTGCGTCTGATGAACGAGACCGGAGGATGTCTGGTTTTAAACTGTGGGCGGAGTCGTCTATTTGCGAATATAAGCGGATGAAAAAATCGGCGTTCGTCTTATCGTTTGCAGCAACGGCATCTGCGATCTTATCCCAGAGTATTGCCTTGTCCGACTTGACTGCCTGAGGCTTTAAGGTTGCAACCGTGCTTGTTTGTTGAGGGGTAGATGTGTCTTCGTTGTCGATTAAAGCGTCGACCTGGTCGGGATCGTTCACGGTCACAGATACTTCGCCTGTCGTGATGATCTTCGGAACATTTGAACATATTCCTTTGTATTTTGAGAGGTTACTAGGACGCTCTGAAGTGTTCTGGTCTGGAATTTCTGGGGTATCGAATAAAACACGCAACTTGTGTTATTCTTCATATTATTCGGTGTAGACTCAACAACTTAGAGCTAACGCCTGCTTACCTTTGAAAGCTTCACTGTCATCGCTTTCCGAATCTAACTCTAACGCCTGACGGTTCCCGTCCGTTGCCATTGATGACGCCGGTCTCGTTGCGTTTTCTAAAGCGTTTGGATCTACAGAAAACACATGCTTCCTAATCGGTTGGCTGCCAACAACTTAGGCGCGATCCTAATATGCCAGGATAACTAACCACTTAAGTTTCCTTCTAACGTTGCGGCAGGATGTCCCTCTGTCGTCGCGGCCGGTGTCGATGTCGGGGTCGATTTGGGTCCCTTGCTTCGGGTGGCTCTCTTGATCGCCTCGTCTACCATCGCGGATTCTTGAGAGTCGGGGGCGTATTATGAGAATGACCTGGTCGCAAAAAGTCGCACAAAGGTAGTTTGCGAAAAGGTCGTAGTTATGTGATCTGAGTGGAAGGTCGTAGTTATGTGATCTGAGTGAGGTTGTGAGTTATGCGATCTGAGTGAGGTCGTGTCGGTTGGAGTTCTGGATCTGCAAAGAAAAAACCAAAAAAGGATCCTCGTTCCTCCAAGCGAAAGCGGGAGACGAATGCGGAGCGGCGAGTGGAAATCGGAAGCGGAGCTAGGGGAAAAGGAGGATAGCTGTGGAGTCTTAAGGCGATGGTCTAGGGGGAATGTGAAGGATCACACGGCCCAAGCGCGTGTCACCTCCACGCCCGCTATCCGGTCCTGACTGCCTCCAGGAACTCGCGTGCTTGGACATTGGTGACATCTCTTGTCAGTCCTGTCACCTCCCACTCCCCTCATGATGATATCAGGGTCTTTGGGCATTACGGTGAATACACTTCAGTACATAACACAACCTCCACTCTTTTATCATCAACTTTTGCTCTTCAAACCACGCAATTCGAATTTCAACCGGATATCAGGTTACTTATTGTAAAAGAGTACTGCCCAACGCGTTTGATCTTATCGAAAATGTTTGAGTCTCCCACAAAAATGTATCCATATTACGCACTAGGATGAAGAAATTATGCCTCGTTCTCCATGGCAGAGTAAGGTTCCAATCAGGAGCTAACCTGACTAGGTAGGGGTCAGGCCAGGTCATGGATGCATCCAAAAGATTCCTGGTAACCAAACAGCTCCTTTTCCCGAAGATACCTGGCAAGGAATCATCTCCTTTTCTCTATAAAAACCTGCCCTTTATGGCAAAAAATGGGTTTTCCCAGTGGTTTTGGACCTTTTGTTTTAGATTTTCTTACCAACTCCTGGCTTCTCCCAAGCTGTTTGGGGAGGCCTTGTTTTGGAGTCACAGATGTGTTGGGTAAAAAGTGTCAGAGCTGGATATGTTGGGCTCAGATGTCATTAAGGCCATACCTGAACAAACTCCAGAGGCCAAGATAATGTAGGAACCTTGGGCACAAAGGCAAACACAATTCAAATTCTGTCAGCTCCGTTTTTGAAACACTGGCTTAATTACTAGCAAACCAGGTACTATCACTGTGCTGAAGGACTAGGTTAAAGGCCAAGATTACTCCTAGCCACCCTCAAAAAATAAAGTGATCCAAATTGCCCACTTCAGGCAAGGACCCTTTGAAAAATCAAAGTAGCACTGTAGGAGAAAATCACAACTCTTCACTGCAAGAAAAAGTCAGGCAACTGTGTACAGTTGACATGTGATATTAGAAAGGCACATTTGCAATATCACATGTCAACTGTAAACAGTTGCCTG